AGATGAAGAGTATATATATGGGTTGAAATACTTGATTTTTCACTTTATTGTAACTTGACTGTGCTACGATCTATTCGTTTTAGCCTATAATAATTTGACTACGAGAGAAATCAGGTATACACATATACATATAATTATATACTATTAAAATTACTTTTGCAAACTCTATTGTTAATAATTTGTTATTTTTCTATTAATAAAGCCTGAAGAGGTCAGCAAATGTGCTGACGAAACGTTGCTGAATATAATTAAAATTAAGTGATTTTCCATCTATCACTATTTCTTAGTCTTCTACCAGGTATATACTGTAGTATGAAGCGGAGAAAACTATATCATAACGCTGGAGCCTCCCCTTAGTTACGCAGATAAATTAATTACGCGTAAATTAATGCACTTCATAATGCAAAAAAATAAGAGTATAATATTATTCCGTCAATTTTATAATAATTTAACAATTTTTGATTTGTTTCGGATTTTTCAATTGTAAATAATTTATATACCTCGTAATTCCTATTTTACTATTAATATTTTATAAGAATTTAATTTTGTAAGAACTTACCTTTCTCTATATCGTTAACACCTACAATTTTGAATAAATAAACACAATATAAAACACTTTGAAATGCTTTGCAAAAACAAACGATGCTACGCAGAGCAGTCAATGCTAACTACGACTCCTCCATTTAATTTAATTTAAATTTAATTACTTATTTAATTAACTAATTTATATATTATTTGAATATATACATATAGACTGATAGAATATGAAATTATTTATTCGTTAAAGGCATTTGCCGCAAGCAATGTTAGAACCGCACGAGTAGCGGACGGCCGAACGGCTAGCGCGCAGTTCGTTTCATTTTAGTGCTGTCTTAATCCTAATAGCGGGCACTTGATTTTCTCAGCGGTTTCATATGTAAAAAATGACAAGGAACACGATGGTGCAAAAATTAAAAAAAAATATCGTATTTTAGATATCGTCGATTTATTGAAAAAATTGTTTATAACAATGACATAAATAAATGATTTGGTATTTTACTATTTACATTTCAAAAGTGAAACTCTTTCCGCGTCTTTTAAAAAAAGAATCATGTCCATATCTTTACTAGTCTCCGAGAAATCGAATTAATAAAAAAAAGTCCAATATTTTTTCAACAGTTAATAAGTCGGCCCCTTATCAATATTTTGATCTAAAACTCTGCACAGATGTTGACCTCTGTATAGGTAACAAGTCTACCAACTTTGAACAAAATTGGTGATTTGATGTTTTAAACTATTTGAAATAGCCAAGAATTGCCCAAAACTGATATTGGCGCCGAAAGATGAGAAAAAGAGAAAGTGAGAAAGAGAGAGAGAGAGCCAGAGAATGAAATATAACGTTGGAGTTGCGCAGTGCTACTGCGCAGGGCCAACTGCTTTACTGCGTGAATCACAAGGCCCAGTGCCGCTCGGTCGTGGAAACTCGCTCTAATTTCCTTTCCATTGGACAAAAACTCACGTGCGATGACATATTTCGATGTAGAATTTCAATATCTACAACTTTCGTTCCAAACTTTTTTCGAAATTCCGCGTCGTTTTTGAATTAATCGCAAAAAACAAAAAATTTTACCGTTTTTCTCCATTTTCACGGTTTTCCCGGAAAAATTTTACTTGGCCAATTCGAAATTTGAGTTCCTGAGGCCAAAATGCACCTAGAAATGTAATTGACCAGCTCCTGCATAACTTTTCGACTTTCTGACCCGGTTGATTGGACTATCAGACGGGTTTTCTTTGGCAGGTTGCGGGGACACAACTTGTCAAAATAGGTCCTTGACTAATCTCGTTTGGTGTCATCGATGCACACGTGTTAAATTAATTCGAATGTTTAACTTCGGGGGAATTCATGTGTAGGCAGAATACATCAGAAAATGAGCTTACGATCGAGTCTTCCGATCAAAGTTAAGTCAATTGTTACTTTAGTTATACTTATGGTTTGGTGCTGTCTGTTGACATGCATGTGGTTCTCATATCTAGATTGAGCTTTTAAATGTGTAGAAGAAAACAATGCATCGTGAAAAGTTGATGAATCAAGACACATTGCAAAACAAAATTTCTGCCGACGGCAATAGATGTATTCGTAAATAGCGCCCTATCAAATGTGATAATTTTTTGGGTTGTCTTAACCTGAGGGATACAGTCTGATTTTTTTCGCAATTCGTTGCTTAGATTAAAATAAAGAATGACCGAGATTGACAGACAATATCCACGGTTCTTCGCACACGTAGCAAAAAGCAAAAAAGTAAAAAATCCTGTAGTTAGTTTCTATCGAAGGTTTACATTATTGTATTTGAGTGGTTTTTGGATCGGCAGAAATTTTTCGCGGATCCAACGTGATAGCAGAGTAGGGGAACATACTGTTTTTTATTTATATCACAAATCGACGTCAAAGGATCAAATTATTAGCATAGATATCAAAACTTATTGACAAGTCCACGCAATTTAGTTTTCTATAATAAGAAATAGACATTGCATCTGTATAGCATTTTAATTCAATTGGTTATACAAATGAATGTATGGAATCGATAGCAAAATCACGTGCAATTTTTCTATCCAATCAAATCAATACTCCAAGTAAGACTTACCTGGGGTAACAATCCAATCTCATCGGTAGAGATCTATGTTGCCGATTGATTTTTTAGATGTGCGTATAGTTTATAATATCGTTGCAATAAGAAACAATGTTTGTTTATTTAACGAGTGATTATAATGATATTTTAATTGGAAAGAAAGATTACGCGTGATTTTTGTTAACGATTCAACATATTCATTTTTATAAAAACCGAGTGCAAACACTGCGCGGATTCAATTTATACCGATCTTTCTACCGAATTTTCTTATTAATAAAAATTAAATTGTACAAAGTTATTAATGAGTTTTACTATCCTTGCAATCACACGGAGTTGTTTTATAATTTTTCCGGGTCAATTTTCAATCAAAGCGTTCTATAAAAAATGCGAAAGTAATGCATACTGCGGTTTATTTTTCTACTTTACATTTTATAATAAGATTTTTACAATAGTAGAACAAATTTTCTGGGCATTCGACATAAATGTTGATGAAAAGGATCACAATCCAATGTATAAAAAAGGCAGTGTTCCTTTCTTTTCCAATTTCCAATTGTTTATAAATACAAATGTATTTAAACAGATTACTATAGAAATGTCAGAATTTCGAAAAACTAGTTGCAATCATGAATTGTAAAGGAAAAATCAGGAAGAAAACCTATCTGGCGTTTTTTATTTGATGCTGTTTTATTAATGTAAAATCGTTATAAACAATAATTAAATGTTCAAAAGTTTTGTTATTTTAAAAAATTAATTATGTTAATCTATTCTATGAGAAAAGCCAAGATAAAAACCTCTCTGTGCCATTTGTAATAGTTTAATGGCATAAACTCTATTTTAATGGTATAAAATCATTACAAACAACATAAATCTGAAGTAGTGATTTCAAAGCAGTGATTGTTTATGACAATTTTACATCACTAAAATAGAATTTAAGAACAAACGCCAAATAGGTTGTCATCTTGGATTTTCTTTTAGATTCGATTGACATAATTTGTTTTTTAAAATAGCAAATTTGTTGAATATTTAATTATTGTTTATAACGACTTTACATCAACCAAACGTCATCTGACAAAAACACGCTAAATAGGATTATCATCCTGACTTTGGCATGCGGATAATTGTGGAGTTTTATTATACACAACTAGTGTAATTGTCCGTACGTCTTGACTTTTTCTTCAAAATTCATTGCTACAATTAGTTTTTCAAAATTAAAAAATTTCTGTTACCTGTTTAAATAAATGTTGATAAATAATTGAAAATGGAAAAATAAAAGACACGGATATTTTGTTTGTGCAGTGGATAGTATAGTTATAGTTTAGGGCTATCTAGTCTAGATTCGACTTGGATATTAATGGATTCAGCGTCATCAGTATTTATGTCGATTGACCGAGAGAATTTTTTCTGCTATTGTAAAAATTGTAATTCTTATAATATGTAAAACGTAAAAAATAAACCGTAGGATGTATTACTTTCCTATATTTTTTGTCGCGACATGGCGTATGGATATTACTTAGTTACTTACTCATTTCTCGGGTTGTTTGAATCAATCAAAATTTCTGCCAATGCGAAATTATGATGTATATATGTTATATATAGAATACCTATTTATTGATGGCAGAAAGTATTCCTTTGACGTTTTTTCGTTGCAAAAAAATCATGCCCTCCTCCCTCACACTACCAACATACTTTACTTGTGAAAAACTTCTGCCGATGAAAAAAATCACTTCACTACAATGTATGTAGACCTTCAATAAAAACCAATTGCAGAATATTTTATTTTGTTGTTTTTTGCTAGTACATGTGTAAAATTTTCATGCCTCCCACTGCCTCTATGTTTGACCCGCGAAAAATGTCTGCCAATATTTGACCGTCCTTATAGTTTAGCATCAAATTGCGACAGAAACAGAATGCATGTCTTTCACGTTAATATAGCGCAAAAAATATTCATATTTGATCATCAGCTGTTTGTAAACGCCCTCACTTCTGTAGATAAACATTTAGTTTTGCAATGTACGTACATTGATTGACAAATTATCAACTTTTCACGCTATATTGTTTTTTCATGTACTTTTTGAGGCAAGCTCTTAGATTATTACTTCGAGAGCCAAGATGAGCGCAGCCACAGTGTCGCTGTCAAACTACTTGTATACAATGGGTGGGCGGTGATTCATAATGTTATCAACATTAGTATTCTAAATTATTAGGTTTTTCCAAAACAACAATCTTTGACAATGGCTTTTCTCGAAGTAAGTATCAATGCCATTCACTGAATAATACTTTCTGGATGTGAAATAACAGATTTTATAACCTATTTGTATACTTATTAAGTTTGATAATTTTTGTTTTATTAGCAATTACAACTAGTAATCAACAATTCAATTATTTTAATTTCAGTGGCGTCGTTTCAATTTTTTCGATCTAAAAAAAGACGTCGATTCTGGAAAAATTGCCGAAGTCCTTGGGGTCAGCCGTTACGAACATATATCTCTGTACGTTAAAATAATTATTATTAATTTCTTGATGGGTTTCTAGGATGCTCGAGTCACTGCTGCTACAAGTGGCAATGGACATTTGGTATTTGGTGACAGTATAGGCAATGTTCATCTTGTTAATAGACAATATGATATTGTTTCCTTTAGAGCCTATGAAACTACGTTAAGAATTACTCAACAAGTGCAAAATTCTATATACCTATTCACAATTGGTGTAAAGTACCATATAACATATTGCTAATAATGTCACAAATGTTATGAATAACCATGCTTTTTTATTTTCAGGAAGATGAACCTGGATGTAATCCAACAATAAAAGTCTGGAATTTAGCTAAAAAGGATAAACAAGGTTACCCTTTATGTATTAGGATAAGTAGAGCCATTCCTAGTTATAGAGCCGTACCAGCAAGTGCTTTATGTGTTCATGCTAGTCTAACATTAATGGCTGTTGGATTTGAGGATGGTTCTATCATGCTTTACAGGTACACAAAAAACTTGATATTTCAATTGTTTCTTCGTTAAATCAGTTTTTATATAGTAATTTTATCATTGTTCTAGAGGTGACTTGACCCGAGAAAGAAAAAATAAGATAAAAGTGTTAAAAGACAGTAATTCAATTATAACGGGACTTGCAATAAAATCTACAGGAAAACAAATTTATTTGTTTGTAGCAACTATGAATAGTGTTTATTTATATAATATTACAGTAAAAGATAAAGAGTTCAAATCTTCCTTAGATAATATGGGTTGTTCTAAAAACTGTAGTATCCTTGCAGAATCAAAGCAAGACAGCCATTTTATGATTGGTCGTAATGATGTAAGTCATTTTTTGTTTTGTGGAACAAAAATATTATTTTGAAATTGACAGTTTTCAAACTTTCACGGCTAATTATTTATTTAAAAATGAATTATTTTTAAGGCTGTTTATTGCTATACTCCGGATGGAAGGGGGCCATGTTATGCAGTGGAAGGTCAAAAAATCATGCTCGAGTGGTTCAGAAGTTATCTTGTAATTATAGCTAAAGATTCAGGATCTGTACATAGAACAACATCTGTATCTTCAAAGTCAAGGTTTATTTATATATGCTTCACTACTATTAAATTGAAAAATGACAATTAATTTCTGATTTTCAGTGCAATTGAACCTATACCTGCTGGAGCTGAGAAACATATGATAACAGTCCTTGATATTCAAAATAAATTTATTGTATTTTCTGCATCTATGCTATTTGTTCAAGCAGTATTATCTGAATGGGGAGGTTTTTTTATATTGAGTGGAGGCTGCAAATTATATCATTTAGATGAAAAAGATTTGCAATCAAAATTGGCGCTTCTATTCAAGAAAAACTTGTATGACGTTTCTATTAGGTAATTATTTCATAAATAAAACATCAATATAGTAAACAATCTAAAGAAATGTTATTTGATGAAATAATATTTACATTATTAATGAATATTGGCCTATAATAACATGACAATATTGACATTTTCAGAATAGCTAAAAATCAACATTATGATAATGAAGGTCTGGTCGACATATTTCGCCAGTATGGAGATCATCTTTATTCCAAAGGAGATCATAATGGTGCAATTGAGCAATACATTAAAACAATTGGCAAGTTGGAACCATCTTATATCATTAGAAAGTTTTTAGATTCACAGCATATAGACTACTTAACTACATACCTTCAAGCCTTACATAAACAAGGTCAAGCAACTGAAGATCACACAACTTTGTTGTTGAATTGTTATACTAAACTTAATCACACCGATAAATTGAAGGAGTTTATTATGGTAAACAGTTTTTTCAAGTCACATATTGGGTCAGATTCAAATTACATATTGGATTAAATTCAAATAATTGAATTTAAAAAGTTTTGTTTTAATATGCTACAATCGTTAAAATATCAAATTTCTGAAATTATAAAATTACCCTTCTTTTTTAATATCTTGATAACACCACTACCATAATTTTTCAGACGAAAGATCGTGAAGTTGATTTTGATGTTGAAATAGCCATAAAAGTTTGTCGACAAGGTTCACCAGAAGATGCACTGTTATTGGCACAAAAACATGGAAAACATGAATGGTATCTTCGGATTCAAATAGAAGATAAAGCGAAGTATAACAAAGCTCTGGAATATATTGCCACTTTAGATTTTGAAGAAGCAGAAATGAATATGAAAAAATATGGAAATATTTTGATAGAGAACGTTCCTAATGAAGCAACACAGTTTTTAAAGACTCTTTGTACGAACTATATACCAACTAATAAAACATCCAACAAAGTAAGTTCAGAATTTTTTTTGCAATTAGTATAAGAAAAGTTAATTTTACGATCAAAATTATTATTCATAATTTCTATTTAAGGAGCAACCTCCTGAAAAAGCTAATCCTGAAGACTTTATCCATTTATTTTTAAATAATTCTGAAAGATTAGTGGAATTTCTTGAACATTTAATCAAGACTGATGTCAAGTAAGTAAAAATAATTGTAAAACAACAATGATCAAATGGATTTACAAATTTGAAATTGTAAGCTATTTTTCATATGCAGATGGAGCACGTCGGTTTATAATACCTTAGTTGAACATTATTTACATGTTTGGTCTTCTTTAACTGATGATATAGCCAAACTACAGTATGAACAAAAAGTCGTTCGCCTTATGCAGAGTTCTAATGCATCTTATGACAAAGACCAGATACTCATCTTATGTCATCAACATAATTTTGGACGAGGAGTTTTATATTTATATGAAGAACGAAAATTGTAAATATCTAGCTATAAGCTCAACATTGTTCTTCATTCCCTTTTTTAATTTATATTCTTATAATATTGTACAGATATCAAGAAATATTACAATATCATTTGAGAGAAGGGGACAGTGAACAAGTTCTAGCTACTTGCAATAAGTTTGGTCGCCAAGATCCTAATTTATGGATTCAAGCATTATGGAGCGTTACTTGGAATAAACATGCTCCACCTAAATTTTTATCTGACATACTTGATTACATAGGTGAGACAAGAAATAATACAGTAAAATTTGAATCGGTGAGTAATAAAAATTGGTTAGTGTAATATTTTCTTTATTCAGCTAAGGAAAAACTATTGTCCCCACTGATGGTGATAGATGCGTTATCAACGTCACGAACCTGCACTCTAGGAGATGTTAGGAGCTACTTAAATAGCGTGTTGCGACAAGAGCATGAACAAGTAAAAGCTGATACTGAACTAACTAAAAAATATCAAGCCGATACTGAAAAATTAAGAGAGCAAATACAAAGTATAAAGAATAGTACAATAATTTTTCAAGGTTCACGTTGCAGTGCTTGTCATCATCAATTGGAATTGCCATCAGTGCATTTTATGTGCCAACATTCTTACCATCAGCAGTAAGTTTGTTGCTTTAAGTTTTACAACTTTTTTAACAGCTTAGACTTTCTACAACCAGAATAAATCAAATAAAATATTAACTGAATATTTTTCAATTTGACTTAATATTAATATTTATATTCCGTAGTTGTTTCCAAAGTTTTTCTGAAAATGAAAATGAATGTCCAGCTTGTTTACCAAACAACAAAAAATGGCTTGACATTATAAAGGTGCAAGAACAATCAAAAGATCTCCACGAAACCTTTCATAGTTTACTAGATAAAGCAGAAGACCCATTTTCTTTAGTAGCTGATTATTTTGGTCGAGGTGTTTTCAAAAAATTAATGTTAATAACAGAGTGGCAACAATCGCAAGCGAATAAGCTACAGTCCAATATTAATCAAGAACAATCAACGCCCTACAATGCTTATGGGCCAGGAGCCGAAGCTCAAATCAGATTAACAGAGGGTAAAAACACTACGTTAGGTAACGTGCACTTTTATTACCCTTTATTGTTTATTAAGGTTCCTCTGTATATGTTCAAATACATCAAAATATAGTGAAATTTTACCTTAATTTCACCTCAAGTAAGCGTGATATCGTAGTGATTGCTACACACAATAACTGATTTGTGTACGTAGTTATAAATAATTGTAATAAAAAAAACTCAATATTGTCATAGAAAGTAAATTTCCGACCACCCTGACATGAAAAATAGTATATACATCACAGGAAGTAAAACTGCAACCCTGTAGCTCGCGATTTCCACCTTAGGCTTCACCTAGGGTGTCAATTTCCATGAGCAATGGTCTTGCCAATGTTTCAATTTTCTAAATGTATAATGTACTATTTCAAAAAATATTTTAAAAAAATCGGCTTGATTGAAAGAGCCAAAATCGATTTGTTGTAATTGCATCAAACTAATGTATCGAATCCCATTTTTTCTACGATATAAAGCTTTCTGAAGGCGAAGCCAGGGAGACAAATTTCTCCATTTACTAAATTTATTATGGTGTGCTATATACATATGTAGAGGGACCTTAAATTGAAGCAATTGTTTTTTCTACTGTTGTATTTCTTATTAAAAATAGTTCAACCACACGAGTTACGTGCGACAAACGATTTATTGCCATCTCAATCAACGGCTAGTAATTATTTACGCTCATTAAATAAGCCCGATATCTATCCGTCATCATTGAAAGCTAACATAACGGGAAGTGACATTCGGACGCCTCAAGCTACTTCAAGAAAAGAATCGACAATACCAATCCGAGAAGCTAAAATTATAAATAATCCAACGCCAAAGTCATCACCAGCTGATAAAGCATTTATACCACCAAAAACACCAATAGTGCCATCAAATCCTTTTAAAGAAGAATATGACGAATCGAAGAATCCTTTCGCGGAAGATGATGATAAAAATAATCCATTTAACGATGACTATGACGAAAATTATGACAAAAACTTGAATCGATTTTCTCATTAATCTTTCAATCAATACTCTGCAAGAGTATGTCAAGTAAGAATTAATATGTATGTATAGCATCATTTTGTTTTTACACTTTACTAGTTTATTTTAAAGATTAGTAAAATTTTGTATCGAATTACGTAATTTATATGTATATGTATATTTGTTAATTAATACAACATACAAATACAACTGTTGAAAATTGAAAAAATATAAGGTTTTTATTTAAAAATAATAGAAAATCCAAATTTATAAAATTTTTAAATTTCAAAAACTATCTCTGCTGATTCTCCATGAACATATCTTATTACTTATTTTAAAAGGACTCAAAGTGTATAAATTAGTAGGACTAAAGATTTTTGGATTGAGTAACATAAAGTGCTGTGGTGCACTCTTTGGGTTGTAAAATTGGGAAAGAGTAGGTATTATATCTCGTTTTCTTGGTTCTGGATCTTTAGTGCGTGTTATTGTGGTGAGAAGTTTCTCATCATCAGATAAAATAATTAAATTTTTGTAAACAGATTCATCAGGAGGAAAATCTAATGCAGCTGAAATCTGAAATAGTATTCATGAAAATAATGAAAGTAACATTCCAAAATGAATATTATAGTTATAATTGCCCTTACTTTTTTTTGTACATAACTTTTATAATTTTCTGGTAGACTATCTACATCATTTATCAATTTTTCCTCTACATTCTTCAATTTGCTCATAACGGAAAATACTGAATTATACTCTGGTTGTGATAGTAGATTTTTAGATTTAATATCTCTATTTTCAGAAGGTTTTTTTAAATGACATTTTGAATGTTCACTAGGTAATAGATCTGACATCTCTGGTTGCACTACAATATTACTTGCTTTTCCAGCTATATTGAATAAAGATCTGGTTTTTGTCTGTAATGCTACTTGTTTATTTACTTTATTACTACACACAGGGATTGATTTGCATTTTGCATGTGACATAACTTGACTTTTTTTTTGTAATTCAACTAATGTTTTTCTATTTATATTCCTGTTTTCATTAGATGATGCAAAGGTAGACTCTTTTAAAATACTAGAATTTTCTGTTGCTTTAATTTTATGAAATGCTTTGTTAAAATCATGTCTATGATTGTTTTCTTTATTTTCCTGCTGAAGAGCTTGAACCTTATTAAGTTTTAGATTGTCTAATTTAATATTGTTTTTACTTCTATGTTGATATTGACAGATATTACCATTGTTAACTGTTTGAATTTCGCTTATATCTTCATTAGTGTCACTGTCATCAAGCTGTATACATGGTATACTTTTGTCAGTTGGAAGAACATAATTTTGATTGGAATTTTTTGTATCTACTTCATATAACTTTGTGGATTGTATTTTAGGAGAACTTTTTTTAGCATTACCTGCAAAAGTTACTTTTTTATTCTTCTTATCCATATGGTTTGGGACTTTCAAATCATTTTTATTCATTTGATTAAGCTCATCATCAGTAAGATATATATAATTTACAGGAGTTTCCACAATTGGTGTTTTTGATTTTTGTTCTGATTTAGATATAACTTGTTTGTAATCCATTTTGTGATTATCATTAGAGTGCATTCTATTTTCCATATAATGGTTATTACCTTCCCTATTAACTTTCTGTTCTGCGATTACTTGAATATCATCTGTGTTTTCTAGATTATTTAATAATAATTGTTTACCATTTTTCAGATCTTTGATTGGTAAATTAACAGTAACAATACTTTTCACTTTTATTTTAGGTTTTTCTTGAACATTATTTAATTGATCATGTATTCCTGGTTTAGCAAAACTTTTTAAATTATGGCTAAATCTAACTTTTGGTTTTTCCATATTATATTCTTATATTTATAATATATTGAATATCAATACTGTCTAAACTCTAAACAAACTCATCAAATTTATAATCACTATACTGTTACATATTGTATTGTGTATATTTATTGTTCATTTTTAAATAACTTAAATTAAAATTAAATCTATATATACTTCGGTATCGTCTGATGTCTCAGTGTCTCAGTACTATAAAAATATCTAAGATGTATTATAAATTAACGATTTTACCATAGTCGTTGTTTTGATTGAAAATTGATAAGATGAATGATTCAACGATTCTGACACATTCATAGTGACATCAAAGAAATTTTATTAATACTAGGGATCTTTGAGCCGTTTACAAAAGGATTCAGACATTTAGAAATGACATCAAATTCTTGTCCAATCGAGGTTGATGCGCAATAGTAACTGCACATTGCGTAATTGCAGCGTATTAGGATAGGATATTCACAGAATGTTTCTGACACATTCAAACAGACATCAATTTTGACACTATCGGACACAACAAGAATGTTTTAGGGACAGAACTGAGAACCAGCGCACTTTGGCCTCGCAGCGCGGCAGCACCGGCGAAAACAGGTACTGTCGCCGCACAACTTTCTGTGATCGGTCAGACGGTCACAGTCATAGCAACGTAGTATACATGTTAGTAAATCCTGTTAACAAAATTTGCTTGATTTTTTTTTCTGAAAATAACACTTATAAATTTACCTGAATTTTCGTTTTAAATTTTCACTTGAAAACTCTTCTTTTTGCAAATGAAATTTTTCCGTATAATCAAATATCTTTACAGGTGTTATTTTCATGTGAAAATATCACATTTTGCATGGGGAATTTTCTAGTAGGAAATAAAGTATATCACGAGTGCTATTTTTAAATGAAAACATTTTGCTCGGGCAATTTGACACTATATCAAATAGATAAAAACGAGTGTTATTTTCGAGTGAACATTTCAAATATATTTACAAGTGTTATTAGCAGGTGAAAACGTCAGATTTAATTTACACGAGCAATTTTTATGATATTTTAAATAGATTAATAGGGATAATTTTTAAGTGTAAATTTTAAATATATTTATGACTATGATTTTTAGGTAAAATCGTCACATTTTGCTAAGGACATTTACTAGTAGGTAATTAAAATTTCCAGGTGTCTTTTTTAGGTGGAAATATATCATTTTATGAAGAAAATTTTTATTATTCCTAATAAATTATAATTTTATCTATATACAGATTTCGACGCATATGAATCATCATAATTTTTTCAATAATGATGCAATGTTAGGCAAAGGGCATAGAAATTCATTAGTTTTGTTTGACATGTAAACGTATATTTTTGATATTTCTGCAGTTTTAATAGGTACAACATTCAATTAGTATTCTAAGATTCTCTTGATAGCAAAAGTGTCTTGTATATTTTTAATAATAACTTTTCTGCATAAAACGTACTCTTTCAAATTTTCACCATTGTCGTCGTGTATAAAATCTTTTAATTTCACATATGCTCCATCAAAAGTTACAGCATACGAATTGTTAGATCGAATCCATTTTCTTTTTGATGATCTATAAAGGCAACCATCCTTGACCATTTTTTTATAAAATGCTGATAATTTTAGCTCTCGCACCCATTTTTGCTTAGTTTTTGAGTATGCTCTAAAATATCTAGAAGTGTCATCTCTGAATTAAATTTGAGCATACTTTTTATCAAGATGAGAAACGTAATACCGTAGTTGAGTAAACGGACAAGATTCTAAGTACCGGTGTAAAATAACTTCACTTTGGTTCATATAAATGGACCGACATATTTCAATTAAAACTCCTTTTGCAGCGTGGATTTTTCGCAATTGCCACTTTCAAAACAGTATCCACTATGGTTATATGCAGGACCCCAGTTCACAGTACTCTATGTGACATGTTCAGATTGGTGAATGTTGTATGCCATGGTATGTTGGGTATACAGTAATTCTGTTTTTAAATTAAACTATAGCATAAGATTGTGAAATGTATATAACATTTTTTTGTCAGACGTCAATTTGTTTAAGAAAATAGGACAGAAAGCTTTGAATTTTCACAAATTGTACATTTGGAAATTTGACTAACATAGTAATTGTTGGGTTACGAAGTTGCAAAGAGTTTGCAAAATTTTTTTTCTATTGAAACCGTGTTAGAGATCACGTTTGAGTGGCGGGCTAACGGTTTTATGTAATATTATGGATTCAGTTTTCATTACAATTTGAATGTATTATAGAAAAAAAATTGCCATTATTGTTAAGCCTGCATTCAAAGTATAAGTCAGTTTTAAATTAATCGCGCGTGTTGTCAAACAGGTGAGAAGAACGCCCATCACTTTCTCTCTGTGCCGTTCGATTTTCACAAACATTGGTTCAAAATAATCTATTTCGCAATATGAGAAATGGCGTTGATGATGCGCGATACAACAAGCAGGTACGCCAGCTATCGGTGGCTCCTTGTGCAGCGCCGGATTAGACTTTTTCGGGGCCCGGGGCTAAATCTTGCAGGGGCCCCTCTTAAGGGCAGCAAAAATCCAAATTTTCGCAAAATGAAGGAAATAAGGGTTTTTTTTGTATCATTGAATTTTTATTATTAAAAACAACTTTTTTACAATAAATATAAACATTTCTATTCTAGTTTCAATATACATTAAAAGTATTTCTTTCTTGATTTTCTGCGCGCAAATTCAGTAATAATATCGTCAAAGTCTAGTCCTCTAAGTAACTCTTTTTCGATACTTAGTATGGACAATGAGGTCAATCTTTCATTCAACATTGTAGATCGGTACATGTTTTTGATACGTTTTAGAACAGAGAATGATCTCTAAGTCTCGCAGTTTGCGATTGGAATTGTGACTAAAAATCTATATGCAATATAGACGTTAGGAAAAACACGTATCATATTGCTTTGTCTATTTCACCTACAATGTGTTCTCTAACTTTCTCAGCCATGGCCTGTATAATCTCTTCATAAATTATCTTAGTCAAATATGATACACTGCCACGTCCTTTGTTTGCATATAATTTCAAATGTTCATGTAAAAATGAATCGTACTCAGCGAGTAACTCAATAATTCCCAGAAAGTTACCATTGTTTGGCGAACCAACTACTTCATTCGAACCTCGAAATGGAAGTCTCCATTCATCTAACAATCGTACGACCGATAGCACTCTCTTTAATACTTTGTACCAATATTACACTTCGTCCTCAAATGGCTTGACCATACTTTTATCAATTCGGAGACTTTCTGTACAATAAGCAAGATATGTAACCATACACTTTGCGTGCTCTTTGCCGTTTTTATGAGAATGTACGCATTCTTCACCTTTCTTCCAATTCGAAAATCCACCATTCACGAAAAGATTCTTAAAATCTGATGAAAATAACTTGCAAGTATAACAAAATATGGAACCTAGAGATTCAGAAAACATTACCCACTTCCTTTCACATTTTTCATTGTTAGACATTTTTCTATAAAACAAGCTCTGTGAAAAATATCTGTTTTGGTTGTTGATAATTCTTTTAGATGTTTTGAAACTTGAATTTTTGTTTAAAAAAACGAATAATTTTTCTCTAAATACTTTTCACGTTCAGAGCTTATTTCACTTAGCTTTCATGGCCATAACGCTGGATCTTGCTGTACACCTCCATGAGTTTCCTTACCAGGTTTTATATTTTCCTCGTCAGCGTCATATTCATTGTAAACATTCGCACTTAGTTCATTTCCATTTGAAGTTTTAGTTATTTGAGATATGCTCTCTTCTTTTTTTCAAGATGAATTTCAGCAGATGCTGCAAATAATTTGTCATTGTTGGCATTTTCAGAAGCCAAGGCATTTAGATCTTTATTGATGTCGAGCAGCTTTTGGCTTGAAGTGACAATCTTTTCAATAGAATCATTGTTTGAACGAACATAATTTTCATCAGTCGGCTCTAAATCCGCAGCTGAAGCTGATATATCTTGAGATGAACCTACAACAATTATTTTGAAAATTCAACAAAATACTCGCTATGTTTATAAGTAGCTTAATTCTGTACGTATAGTCGCCCAATATAATACAGTCAAAATCGTTTTATCACCTCCTTAGAATTTACATCACGCGCGTACTGCACGTACGTATACATATATACATTTAGTCGCTCTATAGCTGATATTAAAAAAGATGCACAAAGCATCGCGCTCATACTATTCGCCGTTTTTATGAACTTTTCTTGTATAAAGGATATAATTATTTCGTTACATTCACGTACCTGACTGATTTTTCTGAGCTGGAAGCTTTTTAAAGTGATTAGCAACACTAGGTAGATTTTTCGCTTTTTCATCCTCTTCTTTTTTTTTAGTTCTTTTAAAATGTCCACTCGGGTAAATTTGACCAGGCTATTTTGACATTATCACACTTCAAAAATAAACACAGAACACTACGATACTCTACTTTATGATTTACTAACTACTCAAAGCCTTTGATAGATAATGCCAAAAAACACATCACAGTTCAGCTGCTGCCAGCGTGTGCGTGTACTGTTGCTTAAGCGACTAGAAGACTTCCAATACTGTATAGTATACATTGCTTGTCAGGCGAGGAGCGCGACTCGCGAATACATTCATTTGTTTTTCTGCTAATCTCGGAAAACATACAAAAAACTTGAGCGTGCACTGACCGGCTAACGTCAACAGCGCTGCAAGCGCTGCATCGAACTGAACGTTTTGTAATTTGAGCTACACAAACAACTCGAAGTATTTTTCCAGTTAAATGATATGAAGCCAAGACAGCTTGTTTTGTGTAAAGAATATCACACTTTCAAATATTAATAATCGTTAATTCATATTACAAAGTAAAGTTTTCGCAACTTAGAATTAATGAAAGTTTTTGTAAATAGATGCGTACATATTTTTCTTGATACGTAATTAAGTTGAAATTTTAATCAAATTCACATCAATTGAAACCTAATTTATTAAATGTTTTAATTTTTTACGAATAAGTTGCACATTCGAGAGTATGGTAAAAATACACTAGAAAGTGATACTATATAAAATATATATATAATTTTCATCCTGTTATCCTGTTCAAAATTCTTTAGTTGAAAGATAATAAAAATATAATATCCGATACATAGTCACAAATTGATAAAAAAGTATGCATTAGGTAATTGTTATGACGACATCCCAGTACGATATCGTCTTTCACTGAAAAGTTTTATTTTCTACTAATTTTTTGAAGTTCCTGTATTATATAAAAAAAAAACTTTCTGGTTGAAGGGGCCTCTGAATGTCCAGGGGCCCGGGGCTATAGCCCCTGCTAGCCCCTAGGCTAATCCGGCGCTGGATGTATGGTTTTATAACTATTAATTTGCTTCCCTTCTGTAATTCTTTTCCTTACTTTAGCGCTTCAAGTTATTTAGAAACTCACTGCTTGGATGGTGCAATATCGTGTTTTCTCAGCGTCGATTATTTGATAATAAGTAAAGGCTCATTTTGACGCTCTGACGATATAGAA